ATGTGCGATGTTGATATGCATACCAAAGAACTCCTCTTTGCATCCAGCACCTCCTTGCGTCCGACTCAGCCTCATCCTCCCCCTCGTCCTTAACTCCTTGAGTAACAAAACAGCATGAGCGGGTGAGGGGCAGTGGAGCGGCGAAATAATTGTAGAAGTTTGCGGGCTTGGCAGTAGGAGCAAACAGCCGCACACACAGACACCTGGGATGGCTAACCCAAAGGACATGTGTACTGGTTGTGGACATACGGTAATGTATTACATAGCTACAGACATGCTACGGACAGGTTAGACACAAGCTAGAGACAGGCTTAAGTCGACGTCACCGGTGTCAGGACATGCGTACTGCCTGTCCGATCCGGTCAGTTAGAGACATGTATTGAGCGCCCAGAATCGTCCGCCCAATATCAACCAAGACCTCCCGATCTCAACCGCTCTGACACGACTTTCGCCGACGTCAACCAGCTGAGCCCATGTAAGTTCTCACTGGGGTTGACCGGTGGGTCAAATGACTGCCTCGGTCTGCAGGCCCATCGGCACATCGCTTCTCCCGATTCACACATTGGTCAGAGAGGCTCAGACAGGTCTTGGAAGACCGCTGATTGGACGGCGGCCGCCACGAAGCCTCATAGATACTCACCGCCCACTTCAACAATTGACGTAGGCAGTGCTCACGAGTGCAGGTCCCAACGTGACACTTATCAGAAGCCCAGGCATGAAACGCAGGTCAAGGGACAGATCTCGCAGTACTATTGTTCCCTTGACAAGTTGACATACCTGTGACAGAGGACGGGGCGTACTCACCGCAGCCGAAACTCTACTTCGGGCCCTGCACACACCTCCTCTGGATATTCTTGTCGGCAGAGATATATGCGTCGGCAGCAATCATGAGCCTGACGCTACGTCTGTTCCGCACAAAGGTGAACCCGCGGCGAAGTGAACCGGTCGTTCTCGCTAGCGCCACGAATGCGAACGCGCTACCCAAAACTCGCGCTCATCAGCCGTCTTCGATTCTCACATCGCGTGTTACTCACCTCATTTTGTTGTACGGCACATGATCGGGATGGACCAAGTTGTACGGCGAAAACTGATCAGCTCCGAGGACGTTCTCATCGCCTCCTCCTGAGCGCAGAGCACGTCCGTTTTTCGTGGGTCAAATAGTCGAAAGCGATTCAACGAAGCATCCCACGAATATGCGCCATGTTCAAGAAGCGGGGTTACGTTGGACCTTGATTGCCGCGAGGGTCCGCCAATCGTGCATATCATGGCTTCTTGGCACGCGCACCTGCTTCTAGAGCCTACGGATACTGTGCAGCGAGTCTGACTTCAACAGCAGGACACGCCACGACAAGCCCCTATGAAACCCTGGTTCAGAACTCACCATTCAGCTATGACACCAAAAAAGATATATCTGCTCACTAATGGCCTGTCGGTCTGCCGTACGGGCTACGTTCTGTTCTGATGCAGTTATATCGCCGACGTGAGCTGAGGATACTTCTACGCCCGACATTCTCGATGGAAAAGGCTGCGGTTAGTGGGCTGGAAGAAGACATGACCTGACATAACGCTGCCATAATCAAACCCAAAAAAATTGTTGCTACATCAGAATACAGCGGAGGTTTCGCTTTACAACATTGGTTACACAAATAGCTAGAGTGAACACACGTACTGCTAACGATACAATCGCATATGTCATGGCGGAAGATGCTCATCATTTGGCTCCTAGCCCGATCAGAACGAATCAGAACGGTTGGGCGCACTTAGCCTTCCGCCCTTCTCACTATATGCCCTGCTCGGCATGCTTGCGAGAGGCGCCCCTCCGGGAAGCACTTTGCCGTCAATAACGTCGACCATCTCGTGGGATTCAACATCGATATAGACCTGATTCGGAGGCTATTCAGAGCATACGTCAGTCAGGCATTGCGCTCAAGAGTGGTTGTTTGCCTACCATCATGCTAACCCGCCTAGTCTCTCCACGGGTGCTCAGATGGCGGGCATGGTCGGTGCGGTTGTTCTCGTCTGAGGTTGTTTCACCATTTCCGCTACCGTACCTCCATCCAGACCGAGAGTTAAGACTGGACATCAGCGAATTGGTGTAGAGCTTTGAAAGTGGGAGGTTGAAGAGGAGATGCAGGCCCGCCGGCTGTAGGGATACTTGAGCAACGGCAAGTCTAATTGCTAGTTCTGACACTGACTGTGGCAATGAACAGAACCAGGTCCACAAGGGCACACAAAGCCGTGATAAGACCAGTCTGCACGGTCACTAACGGATGTGAGTCGAAAGCCACGGACTGGCCGCCGCAGATGACGTACGTCGAATGATCCGGTTCACGATATCATCGGTGGCGGCAAATCCTGTCTTATGCTTACGCTAACGCACACTGGTCAGAGTGAATGCGGTCGGACCGACAACGAGAATACATACAAGGTGCCAGACAAGAGCAACGGTGATTGCGCAATCTGCCACTGCGGAGAATGCGAGCCAGACAATGACGATGACCTCGAACTTTTGAAAATGGACAAATTCTGGGATCATACCGACTGCGATGGAGGTGCCGAGGCCGCCACCTACGAAGAGAAGTCAGGATTGATGGTATGCCCATGACGTACAGGACTTACAGAATTGAACGATAGCACAGGTGGCTATGAAAAAGACGGCAGGCCAGCTGTTGGTGAGGACCTTGACTCGCCAAGCGAAGAAGCATTGTACAAGGCTTCCGATGAGAGCCTGTACTCAGGTCAACACGTTGTCACACCCAAGCGACCGATGCAAGCGCTTACTGTCATGACTGGGTCTGGTGATCGTGATGAAGTGGGATGTCAGTTTGTGGCATCTCAGCCCGCCGGATGCAAACGAGTAGAACGAACCAGTCGCGAAAACTAGGATATTAATCAGTCAGTCATGCGGCTGCAAGGCGAGCATCGCATCAACTCACCCCAACTCGCGTACATCAGCGCCGAATCGTTTCCTGTTTGACGGTATGTCAGAGAGATAGGCGGAACTAGCAGATCATCCGAACCAAAGTTGTTGACCAAGGGAATGTAGAGAAAGGTGATATCGAAGGCGCAGTTGAGGGTATCGCAGAGGAAAAGTAGGGCGACCTGCCACCGTGATGCTCAACAAATGTTTGTACGGGGAGGACGAAGCGACTCACGAAGAGCTTCATCCATAGTCGATCCCTGAGAATGCGTGGTGAGTCCAAGACAGGCTGAAAGGAAGACTGGACGTACTTTCTGTAAACGTTGAAATAGAGGTAGGTTTGGGTGATCATGATGCCATAAAGGAGAATGTTGAGGACGACGCCGATGAAGATGGGGCCGTATCTAGAGTGGAAGATGAGTTAGGGGGAGGAATAGAAAGGAACGGCGATAGAGAACTTGCGTAAGGGCGGCTGGAGAAGGCATGGTTCGTTCAGGAGTCGGAGGAGGGGGGGCGCTCTGACGGGTATCGCGGCGCTGGTGGGGAGGGGAAGTCGGAGGCGGGGTGTACGAAGGGCATGGATGGGTCGTCGGGCGGGCTAATGAGGACGATCGAGGAAGAGAGTGTGAACGACGGAGGGGACAACACCCTCAACGAAGCACCCAGCGTTCCAACCTTTGCTACTCGGAAGCGAGGGCAGCGGAAATCGAACCGGCATTGGCTCACCGCATGCGTCTGGGGGCACTTCCAGGTATCTGGGGAACGTAGAATGCCAACGAGGTAGGGAAATGGAGGATGTGTGCGGATTCACGGATCGTCAAGAAGGCCATGTCGACGGCGGTCTCGTCAAGGACCCATTGCTGTCGGACCTGCTCTGGAAGAAATACTTCCAACGAGGGCGCCTTTATCAGCTGGAAGATCTGAAGTGGTGTGGACTTGGGTGAGGAGGCTCGATGGCTGTCGTCTCCTTCTGTGCCAGAAAGAAGGAGGTCGATGATATCACGAGGCGCGTCCGAAGTGAAGTGACGTGTGAACAGGCAGGTGTTCCTGTACAGACCTCGATGAAACTCAATTCCAAAAGGATGAGAAAACGCCGGGCTTGTAGGCACGCTTCATGCTGAACTGGACCTGGCAGTCTGACCCGGTGTCTGATTCACCGTACGTCGACGAACGGACAGAGGAGGGTTGAGGTCGAGTCGTCGATGCGGGAGCGGTTCCCGGAATGAGCGGAAGAGGCAATAAAATCGACGGTGCCTGGCCTGACGCGGGGGGCCCCATCATCGACGCGTCCCGTCACGCTCGCCTCTGCCGTCGATCACTTGGCTCGGTCGCTGATTCGACAGGCACCCGTGCCCTGTCTACGATCGTTGTAGTCTTCGGATCCTGCCAGGGCCAGTGGCTAGCTACGTGCAGACTGCTCCTGCTCACCACATAGGCTTAAGTCCTTCTCGCCCATAGCTTTCGCTATCAAACGCAACTGTCACCAAAATTCCTCGGGCTCGGCCTCGGCCTCCAAACAGGCAAATCACCGACCTATGCCAGATCACCTTAATGCACCCGTTTCGTAACCAGCTTTCCACCAACTTCCACCGTGATACGAATAGCACCGCGCGAAGCGCCAGATTACGGAGGTTGGGAACAAGAAGAGGATGAGTGCATTACCGCCTCAT